AGAATTTACATTTTTTAAGATTTATTGTGAAACCATTACAACTAAGTGCCGAAATTGTTTGTTCCAAATAATCAAGTCCTTGTACAGTACTATTAAATGGAATTAAAATATCATCCATGTAAACAAGAAGAAACTTTAGATGTCGAACAGCTTTAGAAATTGCTCTTTGAAACACCGATGGACCATTACAAATGCCAAATGGCATTTTTTAAAAATTCGTAATGTCCATCTGGCGTCACAAATGCCGTGTATTTGGTTGAATTCTTAGAAATAGGTATTTGGTAAAAGCCATTTTTCATATCGATGGATATGTATAGTTCCGATTGCCCTAATTTATCGATCTGGTCTTCAATGAGAGGGAGAGGGTATCTGTCTTTTTCTATTAATTTATTTAGTGCTCTGTAATCAATACACATTCTATCACTTCCATCACTTTTCTTTACTAGAATCACAGGACTTGCAAATGGTGAATTACTTTCCTTTATTATTTGTTTATCTAATAAGTCTTTTATTAACTCTTTAACCTTCTCTCTCTCAATTGGAGCCATTCTATACGGTCTATAATAAACAACCTCGTCTTTTTTTAATTTTATCTCTAATTGACCGGTTTTTACACTACCAATTGATTCTAAAACGGATGGATACTTTTGAAAAATAGCTTTTATCTTATTCTGTAAACTAGTATCTAGATGTGCCAATGTTACCGAAAGTTCTGAAAATGGATTTTCGTTACTATGTGTTTGAAAGTTATTTATTTCAAAGCTAGACTCGGGTATATATTTTCGTACTAAGCGGGAACCTGATGAATCAGTCACGATTTCGATATCAGGATGTTGAATAGCATTTCTACCGATTAGAAGATCGTAACTACAGTCAGTGTCCTTAACCACAAAAATATCTAATTCAATACACAAATCATCAAATGTAACTGGTACCATAATTTTATTAGATATATTTAGACTACCTTTTCCTACTCCACTAATATGTAAAGAGCATGGGGAGAAATGGCAACCAAGGCGCTTTGCTACAGAGTCTTTGATTATACTGCAATTAGCCCCAGTATCTATAAGCGAATTTATGATAAAATTATTAATAGACACTGGTGTTAATTTTAGATTCAATTGTCTAAAAAATTGACCTCTTTTTCAGTGACAGAATTGTTATTACTATTATCAGTTTTAGGTTTGAATCTGCAATAGGAATCCATATGACCAGGTTTTTTGCAAAACGTACAAAATTTTTTAACAAACTCCCCAGGCTTTATTTCTAATGTTTCCGATTTGTTTGGTTATGTGTTAATCGTAGTGTCTTTTCTATTGCATTGCGCCTTGGTATGCCCTAACTTGCCACACGTATAACATTTCACGTCATTAGATCGCGTTTCTATTCTAGGACGTTTAGGGTAGGTTGAACTATCTTTGTTAGTTGACTCTGAAGGTCTCTTTCTTATTTTTGCATAGGAAGTAAATAAAGCAATAAGTTCAGAGGTGGTCTTTACATTGCTGTTAAAAGATGCCATTTTTACATTTACATCGGTTATATTTCCACAAACTAAATCTATTAACTGCGACTCGGTAAAAGCAATCTTTGTATTACGTAATAGCCTCAATTTTTCTCTGGCATATTCACAATAGGAGTCAGAAGATTCAGAAGTATACAATATAGCCTTTTGGAGCTTTTCAGCAAGATTTCTTTTTTCGGGATATAAAGCAGTTAATTCCGTACGTAGGTTTTCCCAGGACCGGCCCTCTACGGGATCCCATGTCTCGAACCATAATAATGCAGACCCTTTTAGGGCCTTACCTGCCTTTGCAACAGTTGCTACGCTGCTCCAGCCAAATTCCTTGGAGAGTGTCTCGATATTGTTGCACCATGACTCGGCACCCAGGTCACTGGTAGTCGGGTCGAAAATCGGCAGGGCAACGTCATCGTCTCTGCGCCGAGTGCCGGACACAGCATCTTTAATCGCTTTAAGCAGATCTTGTAAAACAGGGAGGTCCATCCTGAAATTATAAAATGTATTAGAACGTTGGACACAATCCCACTTCTGATGTTAGATTTTGAAAGTCATAGAGTTTGAAATAAACAAATGTAAGCATATAATATGCCATTTTATTTTATCTCAAACTAATATTATAAATGCGAAAGTAACGATTGATAAGAAATGAAATGTATATAGTAAATGCTTCTAAATTATCGGTGACTGTGGTAGATACATATTAATAAAAATAAGGAACAACCGTTTCAACATATATTATTTTTATTTATATAGGGCGGTAAATGATAATTAAAGTACATTATTTCATAATCTTATTTTATAAATCAAGGCAAAAATAGTAACACAATAATATTTAACATTTCTTACTTCAATTCTAAATTAAGTACAATTATACACAATTTAATACATTATAACAGTTACACAAAATATGGGAAGATATGTAATATATAATAACAGTCATAATTACAACAATAATAAAATTATTAGAATAAATAGCTTACTCAACTCGCTAGATCCTCACAGCTCCGCAGCTCACGATCGAATGTGTGATATTCGACCGACGTGCTGTATTTATACCGAACGGCCAACGGTCGTTTGGCAGTTATTCAATTCAAATATTTTTTAGGTAAACAATTTGAATATTAAATTCACTAAAACATTAAAAACTATTATCTAATGTAAGTAATAACATTTTATAGCCTATTTACTTAAAAATAAACAACAAATTGTGATCAAAAACCATTAGTTGGCAATAATTAAATAACCTAACCTATCATACGCATCTACTAAATGTTACACTCATTATTTACTTTGTGTGGTTGACTGAATGAGCTAATACTTAGAATTGTTTAAATTGAAAACCCACTGAATGTTTGCCTATCCGGGAATGCTATTGGCGTGTCAAAAATACCTATATGTAGGTACATATATGACAAAATATTCCAATTCTGTTATAGGTAATCATACCTGTAACTAAGAGTGTCGTGTCTGCTCAGCTCGGTGGCTGTATGATAATCAAACCGTTAATCCCGTAAAGTTTCATGTCGCGACCGCAACCGCACGTCAGCGCGCACTCACACGCTGCTGTTGACACACTGCGTACATGTGTACATCGCACCCGGCATTCAAGCTGAGCAACTTTCCTGTGGAAACTCATACGGAGCCATCTATAGAGATACCTACATAATATCAAACCTCCTTCTACGATTGCCAGAAGGGGCAAATACTCAGAGGACCAAATTTGTAGCATCTACTTTCCATCTGTAAATCAAACATCCTGTCATCGTCAACAACTCGTTCTAGTCCACGGCTGAATAACATGACCTTCATTTACATAAGACGGGTTAATGAAGCATATTCTGATCTGATCTTATGTTATTTTATTGATAAACAACCTTTTAGTTTTCATTAGGTCAATAATAAAAACTCCATGTATAAGTGTTGTATATAAAACAAACATTAAGACGACACCTAATCACATAAAGCGGAGAGCGCGTCACATGTCTGAGATAACATGTTTGTAGACATGTCCCTAATACTCAAAAATATCGCTCAACTGTTTATTTTGTCGTGTATCCTCCCAATATTATAACGTAGCGGGCTCCGGTGGATTACGAACATGTCACACCATGACGGGGGCAAAGCTGGCGTGAATTCCGTTTTGTGTAATCCCACAAAATTGAAAATACGACATTGTCCTGCTTACGGATGAATCGTTGTTACTTCGGTTTTTTTCTAAATCATTATTGTTGAGAACTTGTGCGGCAATGTTTTGTGAACACTGTCCTTTATGTTGTAGCTATGTGTGTGTGGGCGATCCTGGCAAGTTCTTCTTATGTATAGTAGGTAGTGTGGGTGTGCCATGTATTACACCGATAGAAATTACTTCGTTACTTCAAGTCTAGACTTTAGCTTAAACAGTTAAGTTTTCAGCATATCTTATGAACTTCATGTTAATAACGCTCGAGATAGTTATACGTGGGTAGGTGTGGATTTTCGTTTGTTCTGTTGATTAACTTACAAGTACCTACCGTGAAAGAAAATTTGTTCAAAATATAAAGATGTGCTTGTCTTGGTCGATATTACAAATTGTATTGTAATAGTAGTAGTTGTAGTGTAATAGAGCATGAGGCTACATAATTTGTACAGAGCTACATTTTTAGCATAGTTTTTGCTTGTAGCTATTGCAGATTATCTTTGCTTCCTACACTTGATACATCAACAACAATGCCCATTATTTATTTTTAACCAAAAGGCCAAATAACATGAGAATGCCACGCGACGTAAAGTGTCCCAGTAATATATGATTTCGCAGCTCATTAAAATACAAAGGCAGGTTGTCTGCGCCGCAATGAATGCCACAAAAAGTTGCCATGTTTTATGCAACAGCCTCAGGTGTCTAAATTAAATTCGGGCATGTGCCGGTGTCAGTCAAAAGTGGAGGAATTACCGGGGACCGTGCCCAGGGCTAGCAACCAGTTACGACGCTTTTTTATGACGTACTTATAAAATATTACCTAACATGTTTGTTTACTCCGCGAGAGCTCATGAACACGTTTCAAAATGTCCTCTTTATTAATGAACTACAGTACAATAGCTCGATAAAGGGATGACCTGATTAACAGTTTCAATAAAGTCACTTATTTTGTAAACTTGTGTTGAAAATGTAATTAATATGGTGATGTAATCGTTTTAGAAACTATTTCACCAAGTCTATTCGGTATTAAGTTGTTAATAGTTAGTAATAAAGTAATTAGTCTGTTGAGAGACTTCACAAGAACATAATACTAGCAATTAGTGGAACAGTAGAGTGCTGGCGTCTGGTAGCCCTGCGAGCGGAGCCCGCACGCAACTGCTCAATGTTCTCGCACCGTTTTTCATTTCGTCTCGAATTTATATAAACGTTATCGTGAAATTATACCAGCGCTTTATTGTGTCCCAAACAAATGCGCGCTTTTCTTTGTAATCAAGTACACAATTAGTTGATAAGTTGGTGATAACATTAAGGCTGTCTTTCCACCGGCACTGGCATTACACTGGCGACGCGCTCTGCTGCTCGCGCTGATACCGCGTCCACTGATACACCTGCACGGTACACAATGTTTTGGATTTATTATCATTCACGAGTATGTGCTGTGAGCATTATAACATGCAGTGCAGTCTGTTAACGATTAGTGGTTAATCTGTTTCTGTAATATCTTTACAGGTTTATTTTGTGGGAGAAAATCATCAAAGGGCTTTTCTCGCCTAGGATTAAAGCTTGAGGAGCGTCAGACTTACACTGATTAAAAACCTCACCGCTCCTTTTTTGTTCCAGGCGGAGGCCATGGAACCCTATTGCTTGTCAATCAACCATGGCTAAAAACATTGGCTATGTTGGATTTATCTGTGGTGGTCTATTGGCACACGCGGAACTCTACACGCCGCAGATCGTCGTCGCAGTGTGACCTACTGCGGGGGCTGGGGCGTGAGGAGGATAGTTCTCTCCGGTGTACGCTTCGCCTCCTTCTGCACAAAGAAGGAGGCAGGTGCTGAGAACACGCCACCGTATGCTCCACCGAGTACTTAACGGGTACTGTATAAATTATAAAAAATAGTCTCTGGTTTTTATTATTATAAATTCTCATTTAGCTTTGAAGTTTTGTACTTATAATATTGCATGTTATTGTTTGATATAATACACAGTTTTATGAAATTCGAGATAATATGAAAACAATAACGTAATTTCCATTAAAACTTATTTAATTATGAACGTTATATTTGTTCAAGATCATTGTACAAGAGCTCTTACAAGGCCTATTATAAGTTTTGAAATAATGAATTGCACTGTAAGAGATATTTTCCCTGAAGAGGCCAGTCATCGTAATAATACTTTAATGGAAGCCTATGAGTAAGTGAAGCCACAATGTGATTCGGTCGAGTCACTGTAACTCAGTACTTAACATTATTAATTCTTTATCCTGTCAAGCATAAACAGTCCAATCCCTTTCAGAATAGTAGCTTTGAGAAAGTATTGAGAGGAAGTCTTTATAAAAAGTATCCGATGATTAAATTGATAACGTGGTGTTTTGTGAAGAGATTGGCCCAAACAAGTCTTATCTGACAAAGCCCTTTCGGGGTCGTACGAGCGCGGCCCGGCTTAGAACCCTTTGACGAGGGACATCAATGCGCACACGTTGCCGGCACAAGTTACAGGAGACTTGTACACGACTTGTACGTGCTAGGACACGCACACAAATGAATATGCACATAAGTGAAATTATGTATCGGTGGTCATCGCATAATACATCCTCTGAGCAAACAAATTCTTCCAAAGCTAGCTGGCTATCTACTCGTATAAATCGCTTAAACCTTAAAAACCAAGGCAACAATAACTAACAAGGAAATTACTATTTGTTGACCACGTGATGTGATGAACATGAAAATAAAACCATAAAAAGTGTTTATTATTTTTTTACGAATATACGTAGTCAATATTAAGTTGGCTAAGGATAGTTGCCCAGTTTTTTTTGTGAGGGGAAAATCATTAAATGACTTCTTCCGGCCAGGGCGCAGCGGGAGGGAGTGTCAGACTCTTACTGACTAAAAACCCCTGTTCCTTCTCCTGCTCTGGGCCGAGGTCGCGGTGCCTCATTGCGCTTACCCCGCAACCCCGGCTGAACATCAAATCTATAGGGCCCCGTCTGTGGTGGTCTATTGGCTTGCCCAGTAAAACCGTTGTCAGGTGGTGTTTCATCATAATTCTGATCAAATGAACGTCATAATTTTTATTGTTCCTATAGACCGCAGTTATTTCGTTGATACCAATTTTAACTTCATAAGTGGTTGTACTCACTTTGTTCTATTATGATAAGTCCTGCAGCGGATGCTCAATTGTTTGTAGCGTCCGGTGCGGAGGTGAGTGCTTAGGTACAGTTTGAACTTTCTGCTTCGAATTATGAACGTTGAGTTTATGTTTATTGACTAAAATTCTTTATTTATTAAGCCTTAAACTTAGATTGTACGTTAATGTTACCAAAATAAGACTAACATACTGTTTGTGATTAAAAGAACCGGGAGACATGATATATTCAAAATGAATCATCAAAAATATGAGCGCGCAGTACGCAACCGCGGGCATTACGGTCGGAACAGTAAGTGCAACTAATTTGTTCGAAAACTTTGTTCCAAACTGTTTCTGCGAATGAATATATTTCTACCGTCTGTTTTATTTACACTAATCATGTTTGTGTGTTTGTGTGTAAACTGTGGAAATATTTCTATAGTTTATTGCAATGCTGTCCAGACAATTATTATGACTTAATTTAATGACGTCCATGGTAAGGTATATTAATTAAAAACGACAAAAACATTATGGCTCTCTGTGTGCGGCTCTATAATTCAGAGTAAACAACCTTCATATTCATGATGAATTAACATCATGATGATATTGATCATCTCTCAAACGGAGAGTTCCATCATGCAGCAGTATAGCATTCATCTGCTGGGTAAATATCCGTGTCGATGATAGTCCCGGGCCGGGAGGCCGGGCAGCCGGGCCGGCCGGTAAATCGGTTTAAATATCCATTACTCACGGACATGCATTTTATAACGGCTCGGCATAAAAAATGTTATTGACGTCATAAAGCGATAGTCAATATTGAGTCCGGTGTCCGGCCCCGGGTCGGAATGTGCCGATTTATCGCCGTCTCCCGTCAATCCGTGCTCGACTTTAGTTCGTATAAAGTCGCGTTTTTCTGTTTATGTGTATCGGGGCCTTGTTTGTCGAGCTCACTGCGGCCCACCGAGGTGCGACCACATACAATATTGATGTGTGTGCATACTCCTTGTTGCACACATGTGTACTTGTAGCGCCTGCCTAACGAAAATGTCCCACAATCTTTATACCATGTATACTACTAGAGTTACGTACAACGGTTTAAAACCTTAATAATGGTTAACAATCAACTTATGTGGCAACAAGTTATTTTTGTTGTTAACATTTTGCGCTGTAGAAATATGTCCGTATATGCATTTTACTAAAGAAACAAGTTTTGTTATCTTGCAGATCTCGAGAAGCTAACGGAATATTCTTAGAAGCGTTATTTCAACGCAAATTGAGTTTATTTCGTCGAAAGGCATAAAGCGAGTATGTGCCGTAGTTAGCATAATGCAGTCGCCTAGTGGCTGGAGTACAGCACTAGGAGACAGCTATGTGAGCTGCCCACCAACTATACGACGTGACTACAGTTTCACTCAGACTTTCTTTTCTTCACCACTACTAGATAACAAGAACTTATACCCCTATCATGCAACGATTAAAATAACTTATGGATCACACAGATAGATGTATGTATTTCTGAGCGAAAGAACCTATAGAAAAAGTTAAGCGATGCATTGAAATTAATATTTCGACATAACAACAAAATAGCCCAAGTAGTTACAGGCGTAAATAATATATTTATTTTATATTCACAGTTCCCCCTACTGTCACAAACTAGGCAGCGTACAGGAGTCGAATCCCGGCGGTTCGTGTTCCCAGTGTGATTGATTTCTATTGAGTAACGGCCCATGTATTTGATGTACTCCACAAATCCCTCAGTTATGGACTCCCTTTGTAATTAACTTGTCGTCGGTCGGCCCACCACCGTGTATGGAATCGAATCAACGGCAAAATGAGCGTGTCACACAGCCACAGGTCTCCTTGTTGATGAATACTGCCCTATGTTACCAATGTAAAGTTATATGAGAGAACAGTATGTCAGGGGTGGATCCAACACACAGCAGCAAGCAGCAAGGAATCCTTTACACGACTAATTGAATTCAAAAATCAAATTAACATCGGAATATAACAATGAAAATTGTTACAAATGAAGCAAAATACACGCTCGTAATAATGAGCTGCCGATCCATTTCCAATTACCCCTGGATCAACAGCGGCAGCGGGCACATTTCAATATGTGCACAAATATCTGGCACAGAAAGCGTTTCAATTACCTATCAAAACTGAGCGCCGCTACCTCCGCGGGCTCTTTCTAATTACGGAGGCCGGTTTATTATAACAATGTGGGATTTTAAGAAGATTGGACTACTCTATTGACACTAGATGTACGTTTCATTTCTACGATAGTTTGGAAAATGTCAGCAATTATAATCTAAAATATTATGGCAATTGGTAATGGCTATATTGATCTTATATTGTTTAACAATTGAATGAAATGAAGACCGCTCCCTAATTAGTGCTCTGCAAACGAACCAGCAAGTGCTGAGCTCGCAGTACATCGGAGCAGAATTACAAAAACTCCCATAAATGAACGATTAATAAACTGAACACGAAAGAAACATTCCAGTCCACACGACACCGGAGCTGAAATGGTTACAACTTGTATAATTTTGACTTAGTTCTTAATTGCTCTGTCTGAATGCTAACAACGTATGAAGGAACGGTACAACAATAAAAAAACATCGTTCCACGTCTGTATACTCGCATGAAAGAGTGTAATTTAATATTAGAACATTCAAGTTAAATTGGACTTTATGCTGCCGAAATAAGGGCGTTACGTGGTGTATTAGATTATTTTTTGTAACAGTCTCGCCAGTTAAGTAATATAATATCCGAGTGACGTTTTCCATTTGTATGCAAATGCAGGCGGCGAGGAGGCGACGAGCGCGCGACGACGCTGCGACAACGACGCGAAATGGATACGTCTTAAGTAATGGCTTTATTAAAATTGTTCTTATTCATATTTGTTTGTTTTGTGAGCACCGCGCCGGCTCTCAACTTCTAGTTTGTACAACACTTTATATTGCGGTACAAGAAATAAGGGCCGATCTGAAGTTGTTTCTCAAATAACGCTTAGTATTCTATCGCGGTACAATTTTTGTAGGTATATCTGAATGGAAATAGTTTATCTGTATTCCTATAACCTTTTACAATACAAATAATATTAACAATACAACTTATAAAGATAGGAAATAGCTGTAACCTTCCGGCTTGACTTCCTCAAATCAATAAGCTTGACGAAAAGAAATATCCTTCCTAGACATAATATAACACAAATATGATAGTAGATAGAGGTGCAGCGTGAATTGAATCCCGCGCCCCGCGCTCGGGGAGTAAACAAGAATTGATCGCATCATTTATAACGCGCGATTTAGATAGCCGAGCGACGCGCGACCATTACTCAATACACAGTACACACATACGCCGTAGTACTACTCCAAGAAATACTGTGAATTGCACTCTGATGTGTAGAATTATTTCTTACTTCTTAGACCTGTAGAAGGGTAGGTTCGAAGCTGTAGTTGGGAGTGGAAAAAAAAATATTTTTTTTACGTTTATTTGAAAGATGATTTTATTAAATTGCGGTGTATTTCTTACTTAGTAAATTTGATGTGCGACAAGTGGAACATAAAAATACTGTTATCTAAATGTGAATGTGTATTTTTGTACTACTGCGTACAATGCTCTAGTGTGCGTCTTCTTAGCAGGCCGTCAAACGTCTTCCCCCAATTGTTTTTTTTTCATTCGTCTATAGTGTCGTGTGATGTGCTGCGATCTGAGGCTGATCGCTTGGTGACGTCACTTTTTGCGTGTCCCTCATTGGCCGCGGTTTTTCAGCTGGACTCTGAAATAAATGATGTGATTTGAAGCGATTTCTGCGTCGTCACGATAAATCGAACGAGTCTTTAGACGACAACTTTCAAGTGAATATTATAAAAAAATGTTTTTAGATAATGAACCTTACTGCTCACTTATCTGGTTGAAATTGGGTAATAGCCAAGTGCAAAGATGCAAGGAATCTCGAATTAATGTCAGGACAAAAGATAGTGTTTGCAATTAAAAGTACCGTCTGGAATGCGGTCGGGCAATTCCTGTACATACAACATACTACGTATATCGAAAAAGCAACATTGCAACATTTTGGAATATAGTTGGTATAGTTGATTATGTAAAATAAAATAGGTAATTTAACCTTTTCCATAAGAGCTCAAGTACCAATATGAAGCAGGAGAGCATTGCGAAGGCTGCCAGCATCAGGAAGGCTGGAGCTGCCTGCCCTAGTGCCAGCGCGCGCGGCTGGGCGCCCGAGCAGGCGGGCATCGTGCCGGCAAACCGGGCACGAATCGCCTTCACATGCCCACGCTCCAATAGACGAAGAAGACTGGCCAAATGCGTGTTAAAATTAAATGTCATTTATCAGAAACCTGTTTCGATTTTTTTTATTGCACTTTGTATAGGTTAATTCACTTTTTAAGCTCTCGAGGCATTAAGTGTAACTGCTTGAATACCTAAATATTTTTTGCTTATCGAATATGTATACCGATATATGCTGTTCTAACAAGCTTAAAATACGGACTTACTTCTCTATCATTAATTTACCTCATAAGCCTAATGTACCTATTTTAAACTAAGTTATAAAAAAAATGTACCCCAAAAAATAATAGTATGAAATAACCAAATCCAATTTTAACGTGCGTATTAACCTGGCAGTCGGAAAGAAGTCGCAAGGCACACCCTTGTAATCCCCCTGTAATCCCCAAGAGGTTCGACAGAAGGTATTGTTAGTTACCCCTCAGTGGTGATGGCATTGTCGCACAACAGCCGATTGATGCGCAACAATTCATCAACAAACAAATGTTTCACAATACACAGGATGTATTAGAAGAATGGATCATCTTAAAATTGATCCAATAGGTATACTATTAGAGATTTATAAATTTTTTTTCGATCACATTGTGAAAATTTTTTATCCATACATCGGTATGAATGGTGGTAACACCACACGGCTCTGAAAACCGACTATTATTGCTCAGCGAGCCTTCAAAAGAAATATAATTTAATGTTTGTTTTGTCAAGTGTCATATATACTTATATAATAAAGAGATAATTTGTAAATTTGTATGTAGGGGGTAAGCTCTAGAACCGCTGGTCGGATTTCCAAAATTCTTTTACTGATATAGCTACGATATTCCGTAGTGCTATATATAAGGTAAAATTAGCTGCAGCTAATAACAAATATGGTTTAAAATGGTCTCTAGTGATACCTCCAGTCAAAGAATTCCTTATAAGGGCTTCTCTTCTGGGCCATGATGTAGACGTGCGCTGGCAGCATCATCTGCAGAGCTCCGAGGTTGCATAACTCTTTGTCCTCGTAAGTTTTGGAGATTACTTGACTTGCGGTATAAGGTTCAGTATGAAAAGCGTATTCTGAAATCATAACACCAACCAAAACATAAAATATTATTATAACACCAAAATTCAATTTCAGAACATTACAAAAATTTAAAATATTCTGTAATTGAATAAAATATTGAAATAAAATATGTTTTTTTTTTGAAAATAGTATCGTTTACATACTGCCAGTCCGCAACAGTTCAACGCCTTTGTTCACATTCTGCAACACTGAAACTGTTCGCTTTGCTTTCGTGACTTTCTTGTCTCTTAGCTCATCTTCTTTCACATTCTTGAAGCCGCTATAGTAGAAAAAGCCAGGGTTCTGTAAACGGAAGACGGACATGTCCTCAGCTCAAAAAGTTCAGTAATATCATTCGGTTTTTTGTCTTATGCAGCACACACTAATTGTAAACAAACTATGTGTTTTTTTTTATTTAGTTATTTTTTATTATTTATAAATTTATTTTCTTTATGTTGTATTTTATTTATTTAAATTTGATTGTACACTTCCCTATTCATGCTCAAGTTTCCTATTGTAATAAATTACAAAATTCTTTTACTGCATTTTTTTTTGTTTTGTGTACCTATGTGTGAATAATCAGATTTTCTGCTTTAAAAAATATTGTGTAGCGTTACATTTATTTGCAGATTCTTACTTGGAAAATATATGGCGTGATGTGCTTTTCTCACTACTTACATCAAGCCATCCTCTAGTGTAGCCAATGTCTTCGAACACCAGCTCGAAGTCGCTGTTAATGAGACCATCGAGGTTGGCGATGGAAGGTGCAGCAGCATTCAGCAGCCAGGACACCACGCTGCTCGTGTAGTAGTTGTACAGCAGCATGCTTGTCAGGCCTATCACTAGCAGAGTTAGTCTACGACCTGAATGAATTAGGGATTAACATCTTATTAGTGGAGTCTGTTGAGGATCGGTTTCAATCCAAATTAATTTCCTAGTAATAGTTAGATTTTAACATTTGTCCCATTTACGTAAATAAAAACTGCATGATATTGAAGGGACTGGTTTTACAATTACGCCAGAAAAAGCGTTCTCTTCCTAGTTATTAGATTATCAACTTTATGTCTAAAAGCAGTTAAGTTGACATCACTTTAAGAAGTTTCTCCGATTAGAGAATGTTAACCGGCTGTCTGTGCCATTTTTCAAATCTTACCTTGACTTGAAATTGTTTGCTCCAACAACTGAACTCCGTCTTCATAACCTGAGCACATAATGATCGTTATTAGGGAACGTCGCGCGAACAAATTATCGTCGACAACTTCAAAGCACATCGTAATGGAAACGCACAAATGTTTGCGGTTACAATCACAATCATTCATCTTAATTTAAATGTTGTCATGTCAATTTTGCGACATGTCTACAGAGATTAGAGTGTTTTAATATTATGACGTCTGTTTATTGTAAAATGGGTAAATAAATAGCGATGTATTTCGTTTACTGAAGTCGAATATTGTTAAATCTCCAAAAAAAGTGCGCACATAAATAAGCTCTAGTTAATGTAAGGATATATCTAATAGTGCCTTTTGTAATGATTATGTGTATTTACCTTGTTGGCAGACTGCAGCAAAAACACTGAAAAAGGCGTATAGTTCTGGTTTGGGCCTGTCCTCCATGCGAGCCGCGCCAGCAAGGACCAGCGTACAGGCAATGCCCGCGAAGAAGGCACAACACCAGACTCCATGAGACAAGGGAGTTAGGAACCTGTTCTCATACTGGCCCACTCCTTTCTCTGGGATTAGATAGTAGAATTTGGTCCTAGGTAATTATAATAATAAATTTAGAATAGGAGTACTTTCCAGATAATACAGCAATGAGTTAGTTAAAAAGCATGAGATAAATATAGTCACTGAAGATTGGTGGTCGGTGGGTGATAAATATCGACCCAATTCAGCCACTTCGGAAAAATTCTGGCACAGGTACTGGACAGGTCCTGTTCCTCCCAGAATAGAGTGTTGGTGACAGCCTGGACAGACATGTTGATATCATCGTAATGGTATACTCTAATCACAATGGCTAAATATATAGAATGCATCAGATAAAGAATCGAGAGGAGAGTCGAGTTACCATTGTAGAATTTCTCTCCGGAGACCCTATCCATCTCCCTGCGATACTGTAGTTGAACCTGTGGAATACGTTCAATTAATTGGAAGCTACACGTCACGTCGGGAAATATAGTAGTGATATACAAATGCCAAAAAACATCAACGTAGTTAGAAGTAGTAGTTTTTCTGTTTTGTCAAAAGATTTTGGACTTTATCGTAAAAGGATTTATGTCGAAAATCAGATAGAGATAGATCAGAGTAGGCTGACCGGCTGGTCGGCGGCGGCTATTATTAAAAGTAACCTGAAATTGTGTCGTTCTTTAATGGTGTTAAGCATCTGAGAGGTGATCTTAGTCATGGCGGCCACTCCTGCAGTGTATGCCATTTCTGACAGCATCTCTGGGTAGAACATCTTCGGCTGGTCCACGATCTGAACAGACGGCATAAAGATAGAGTAAGGATATTCGAGCGATCATTTTAAAGTATAATACATTTTGTGTTACATATTTTCATATATGACAATAAATTTTATTGATTTACAATAACTAATAGTTTGAAAGAAAACAACTTACCACAGTTATAGCTCTCAGCGTTAAATTATGAAAATCCCAACGATTGTAATACTTGTAGCCTTTTAGTACAATGTCTAGTCCTGAAAAATGATTCATCTATAATTAAATTTATATTGTCGTGGCGTCATTCGTGAACAAAAACTGAAAATTGTGTTCAAATGCAGCTTGATCCGAAACCATAAAATGTTTTTGTTATTTGTAATTGAATGAGTAGCTTTATTGTTTTTCACGATAAATCAATGTTTTCTTTATCCTGACAACAGTGGTCATTAAACCCTGATTTAAACGGTTGTAAAATAAATATTTCATTTGATTATGTAAAAATAAAATACAGTGAGTATTGAATGGTCTACCACGATCGGGTTGCCAATTTCCAAGTAGAGCTGTTTCCAAGTCGTTGCCTTGTATTCGGCCAAAGTTGTAAACATCTATTAAAGTAAAGGAGTCACCTGAAAAAATATTGTAAGTATAATATATTTCTTAAACATTAAGTAATCTTTTTTATATACTTATTTAAAATCTTATAGCATATGAAATAATAAGAAATCAATTATTATAGCTTGTTAGATAAGTTCAACTAGTTTCAAATCACACCGGAAGTAGTATTTGTGGACGGCATTGTCGTCTTGAAGTGGCTTGAATCTGGTAAAGTTTTTCGAATATTACATTACACATTTTAATTTCAATATTTAACACCAATTACCCCTATTAGTGACGACAGCGACATCTGCGTTAACACTCAAGTTAAGCAACCGAAATGTCTGCATGACATATTCAGTGCAGTTGTCATCTTCAATGTCGGTCAGGACGAGCCAGGGGTGCACGGCGTCAAATAATTTGTTGCGAGAAGCCTAAAAAAACAAAGCGTGTTTAAGTTTATAGAATTTTTTTTACAGTTGAAAAGTACCTATCAATTTTATACTAAAATTATGCTCTTTCTTTTGGAATAGAACCTCTTTCTTTGTCACCTTACCTGGAGAAGCAATGCCTGTGTCTGGTCACAATGTCCGTCGATTAGGACTCCAACAGGCATTGTTGTCTGATGTGCCACCCTCACCACATCAATATCATCATCTCCATCGAGACGCCTCACAGACACTCGCACATTTTCTTTTGTCAACTTGTGCACTAATATGTTGTTATCTGTAAGTGGTGTACCAATATCTATCATACTGCTAGGTAGCAATAAAACTTAGCTTTGAAAATGATTTTAGAAATACTCTCAGATTTGTATATAATATTATTATTTTGGTATCGGAACTGAGTTTAACTGGACTCAGACAATCAACTTTCTATTATTTATATTATGAAAGAAAAACTTTTTAGTTACTTGAAATATTTTAATCAAGACCGACTGCCTGAATAATAAAATCGGTTACTGAATGTACTTACAATACTGATTTTGACACGTAAAGTAGCAGAGATATCTCAAATCTTTATACAGGACATAGTCAGCAATAAAATTAGATACATTCAGGTTAAACCCGAATGTAGTTAAGAAAAGGCAGCACAGAGTGAGTAGGATCATTTCGCCAAGTGTCGGACGCACAGTGCAGTGCTAGCAGCCAGATGTGCAGCATTCGACAGTATCGCGTTTCCCTAATAGCTTGCAATTCCACATGTCCATCAAATTCAACGTCACTTCGACTTGATACAACTGACATTGATGTCTAGTGAGGCTAGTTTCACATGCAAGCCATTAGGTACATTTGTGAAAACCATTTTTAAGACTGACAGTGTTTTTTACAATCGTCATTGCCTTATTGTTACATTTTGTATTATTATAACACACTTTTAGGATAAGTAGGGATCTTGAATTGAATTTAGTGTTAAATCTAAAATATATATATATATTCTATTGTAAATAAGTGAAGTGCAAACAAAATAAAACAAATGCATGTGTCTCTCAGTAATTATTGCATTGATATGTATCAACGTTCCTGCAGGCTGAGTACACATTGACGATGCTCTCGTATTCCGGCGACGTAGCGATCGAAACATCAGCAATCATGCCTCGCATCATTACTGAACAAAAGCTTGTTATACAGTTACCTGAGAATTATAATTATTTGTGTATACTGTCATTGTTCTGCAGTCACTCGCTATTAGCCCTGTGGAATAGGGAGGTGACTGTGGACGCTAAGCTGGGCTCTATTTTCCTTTTATAACTCTTTACTTATACTAAATATATAGAAACCAATACTGACTAACCGGTATAGACACTAGAATAATATATTCAGTAAGGAAGTAGAAAAAAATGACAATCCTACCTTTTAAACACGGCCTCACAGCGTAGATACACGGCCACTTTCAAAACCTTTTATTTGATAAGAATACCTAAAATTCTTACACACGCTTGCGAAGCTCTCTAATTAAGTTTGGAGACATTTATGTGGGCATAGCTCAGTTGTGACACAGTATTGTCTGTGCTTATCTCCAAATTATTAGCACAATCTGACCTTTACTCAGGTGGGCGACAGCTGGGGGTAATTCGACCAAATCCGGGATCTACCGGAGTTAAGGATGTATTACGTGTTGACATCTGCGAGCTTCGTGTTAACAACTACTTCTACCTGATTACACTATATTTTATGTTTTGTATTAATCTTCTAATATCTAGTTTGCTTGTTAAGTGTAATTAAGGCGTTTGTAATTTGAACATAATGTAGTTTGAAATGTGTCCAGGCTATGGCCAGAACGGGTTTTTATAGCTTATAGATTTATCGTTATCATTGATATATTACGAACGTGAGATAAATAGCGGTATGTTTTATTCGTGTATAAATATTGAATTCGTTTTTTATTCCCTACTTCTCGGTATGATCCTTAATAAATTTGCTATGAAAATCATGGCTCCGTCCACCAGTATATGGACCGTACATTGTGCAAACGGCCGTACCCGATGTTATTATAGAATTCAGTTTGCGGAACAGTTGCGATTATACAAATTGCCTCAATTACGGCGTCGTATGAATATTTAACCCCTTGACCTTTTAACCCTCGCCAGGTAATGGGATGTGCGGAGCTTCCATCTTTTTATGTGTATTGATAGCGGAATTAAATAATTATTTAGGGCCGGCGATATCACAAGAATTATAATTACTGGTGTTGTTAAGTTTTATGCTTCACAACGACCGCGCACTATGTTCATTGGCAACACCTTTCCTGATTAAGTTTAAGGATCAATTAATATTATTAATATTAAAACTGTAGATGGAAATAAAATAATAATCAGCTTTGATTACATGCGGCATCCCTAGAATGTTTAGGCCGCGGATCAACCAGGGAGATCCTCGTTCGTGAATAATTCAATAAAAGTTAAAATTGTATCCATTTTTGTTGGAGTGGGCTTCTAAGAGTGTCTTGTTAACTGGCTTACTTAGGCCATTACTAGGGAATTATTGAAAGAAATTGTTCCCCCCGGGACAAACTGATCTGACACGGAAAAGTAGCTCTAAGCGTATACGAGTTCAATAAAAATAAAGATGGCTTTCCCTTATCCACAGAGTTTGACTTCGGAGAAAAATGGTTTCGCTTTTTATGGTTTCTGCCCTAATAATGTACCCAGTGTTGCTCCATTAGCTACTAATTAGGAGCGAACGCATCTTTTGAGTTGGGCCGCGCTTTAAAATTCATATTTAAGGTTTTGTTCTTAATTCGGAGTTACCATGAACTGGGATGTAAGACGCGAGCTACACCACCACAATGCTAATGTAACATTTACGTGGATGACTCAAGTTTATACATTTTGTTCCCAATTAGTCTTTTAAAGCATAGAAACACGAATGAGTTTCAGTTGTGTTCAGTGTTCAGTTTACATTCATATTTAAATTTCTGTTGAAACAGACAATTTCATTTATTGTTATTAGCATTTTACACATAATTTTCTTTGTTACATAATTATATGTAATGATATCTTTACAAAATGATGTGACATTAAAGTGTTTTGTACACGGAAAATATATTCCCAAGAAACATTTGTTTGTATAAACTGTACTAGAGAGTGTGGTAACAAAGTGGTGTTAGTTTGTGGCGTACAAAAAGACTGTATATCTGTACACACGGCGTGTAGTGCCCGGCACGGTGCACCGCGCCACCGCTCGGTAGCCTATTGCTAACATGTCACCCGCTATCACACCGAATACTTCTTTTTATATTTCTGTAACCGACCGACGAAATTAAAGAGGTTTTCCAGAATTTACAGATTATTTAATGTTTTTTTTATAGAGCCAACTCATTACGCTTAGGGAACTTTATTGGTGCGGTGGCTGGGCAACAAGCTGCAGTGCAAAGTGCCGCGGGTTCTATTCCCATACGGAAAACTATTTCAACGACACAGCAGTAAATTCTAGTGTGGGGCAATGTTTTTCATTTTATTTTAAAATTTAAAAGAATTTGTTTATTCTAGGCCTCTCCTGACCAGTCAAGCCGTTGAAGATTCATACTGACACAGGAAACAATAATGACATTTAAATATAATTTGAATATAAGAAAGCACAAACAATTTTCCAAAATTAATTACCAACAAAAGCAGAATTATAGTATAATATTAATATAACTAAGACGTTTTTAAATAAATATTGAGTTAATTAAATTCAGACAAAGGGCTGTGGAGCGAAGTATACAACTGAGAGTATTAAAATTCATGAAACAATTTATAACACTTAGATATTAAAACAGATGAAACACATTTACGTGTTGTATGAATAGAATAACATTTAATGCCTTTTATTTTGCAGTTTTTAAATGAGTCTGTATGGTAAAACGTGTGATTGGTTGGTGGTTTGGTGTGACACGCATCCATCATAACAGGTGAAAGCAAAAGGCTGGTTGCGCGCGCGCTCGCGGCGGGGAGACAATATAAATGCTAATGTGAGTGCGGGCTGAAGGGGAGGGGCTGCAGGGCCTAGCCGAACACTAACGAAGTTTTTAAATGACTTTGTTTGTGGCATTAATACGAATTACCTCTAGATACTACTAGTTGTTTATAGGTAGCGGCTTGTTTGTAGCGAGTACCTACGTACATGAAAACTGTAGGCGGATTGTTATTTCAAAAATAATATCTTCAAGCCTTAAGTATCTCAGACTAAAGCCAACATAAAACAAAGTAGTTAATAATAATATATTGTTATTCAAATAAATAAGCTTATTGATCTCAAACATTTTCTGAATATGTGAATATCAGAAAAACATTGCAAGAATACCTTTAGCAGATACCCAGTAGGTACTTACCGACTTACTTAAACTTAATAATAAACTTCATAATTTTACTTAGTTTACTTTTATAAGTTCCACTTGTTTTCATTAAGGTTGGGGCAAAATAAGAGTTTTATAAAGTGCTTTAAGTAGATCCTTGAAGTTGTGACAAGTCGTTCATTCATTCTGGTTAGTAATGATTTGTCGGTCTGGGATGGGGTCTGCAGGCTACTCTCTACTGTGATAAGATATTTGTCTCATAACTATTTAATTGGTGCACAGCATGCAAATATGTGCAAGTTATTGTGACAGATGATTGAGTTGTTGAACTCAAATGGTTATGGTATTTTTAATAACTTTTAACCCACTTTGATTATCAAAACATGTTCTTTTAATTTAAATAAATGCTTTTATTTAGGTTATTTTACAGGTTTTAAAAATCTTTGGAAAAGTTACAATTTGCATTATAATTCGCTCATCAAATTCTTTCTATTTGCGTTCAGACGGAGATCGGAGACAGTCCGCAGTCCACACAGATCCTCGTATTAGAGTACGCATTCAAAGCGAAGCAAATTGCATTCGCGGACATCCCTGCCAGGGCTGGCACGCATTGTAAACAGCTCAAGTAAATAGGGGGTGCCGTATTAAGGGTGCCTCCGTAAATAGAGCCCCTTTTTATAAAAATGCATCGAATGGACGCTGCCTTTTGCAGCGCTTCATCTCGAGTGCATACGCGATGTGCCTTTGTGAAGATGTGCGCTGTGGACGTTACATCTTTTATGTGTCGAACTAGGAATGTTTCACCGCCACGCTCGCGTCATATGGATTCGTATGTATACGTTCCAGAGCTTAAAATACTATGTCATCAATTTGAGATGATCTACTTTCCTTATTAAATAATGTCATGACATATGCATATATAACGGCTACTTAACCATCATAGAGTTTCGGAGTAAGTAGCCACGTTTAGTAAAC